GGAGTCACTGTAGATCCAGTAAATGATAAAAGGCAGCATCTGCTTCAACCAACATTCACAAGCTCAAAATCTGTCAGCGCTTCTGAGCTCACTGATCTTGCGGTGAAAGAAGATTTTAAACCAGCATTACATCACCTGCATCTCACAGAACACCTTTCAATTACAAACCACAGCAGTGGAGCTACCTCATATTCAGTCACCGCAGCCTGAATCCAGCTGAGCCTGTGACGTGATGAAGGAAAAGGTGTTGAAGATGCAAGCTATAATTAAGAGCCTGAAATTAAAAGTCAGCTGAGAAACCACGAGCTCCGACATGGAGGCTTTGTAGTAAACATTCTTTGGCGGTTGTGTAATGAGAAGGCAGCTGCGTGTTGGTCTTCATGTCAATACGACAGGATGGAAGAGGTTGTTTGTGGCATTTCCCAGTGGAAACATTTGTTTTATGTAACCAGACGTCCGTGAACCCCTGTAAAGCAGCCAGGCAGGCCGGGGGGAGCGTAACCGCTGCAGAAACAGGCTGAACTTTGCAGTTCATGACTGGGAAACGTGATGACAAAATCTTTTAGTGCTGTTTTGATATGTAGAACCAAGCAGGATAAACAGCTAAATTTCCCTTTGTTTAAACTGGCACACAAAACTCTTGAAGTTCATAAAAAGGTGAAATACCTTGGTCACTTTATTACTATCTGTCAGATCTGCAGCTGCTCACACAAAGGTGTGAGGTCCTCGCTGCCTGCTTCCCTCTGCACACATCGAACAGCCACAGGAGGAAATCAGCATGCAACATGCTATATACAATCTCATATTCTACTATGAAATATTTGAACTTCAATTTAGGCGTTAATTATTATGGAGCGCCAATTATGTTTTGTCTAAATGGACTTAGCCCTGAACACTTATTCAACACTCAGAAGATCTCCCACTCAGTCCTGCTGATTAAACTAATAAGTGTGCTTCGTGTCTTTGGGAGCTGGCAGAAAGGAATTCACTCAGCATTCCCCAGATGATTAAGACATTCTGGTCAGCGGGGCCCCAACTGTGTGGTGGGAGCCTCTGCCTGAGCTCTCAGAAACTAATCTGTCCAAACAAACAGCAAAGTTTCTACTTCAGAATGAAGACGTCCAACATGAAGTCATCGAGTCCTGATAGGCAGCACTCGGTCACGCTCGATGACCTCTCCTGATTTACTGCATTTTATGAAAAATGGTACTGTTCCCTCTGAATGAAGGTAAGTGCAGTTAACGGCTACTCGAGGCCGGCTCTAAAA